ATCATCTTCATTTCCGATACTTTACATTTAGCTTTTCTTAAACGTGTTCACTATGCGCCTATTTTAGGTGGCGCCACCGAATGAAAAAGGATGTATGGAGAAGTATGAGATAATTTTTCGTTTATGATGTAAGTCAATGTATACTTTGTGTGAGTGTGTGCAAGCGTGGTGTTGGGTTTACCCTGGCCCTCGAGTGTATAGCTGAGCTTAGTCAGTTGCACGCTGGCAGTAATAGAAAGTGGGCATGTTCCAGATACAATTACACAATACCTAAATAAATAGTTACAATTCATAGAGTTGACCTTTTGTTGTTTTCTACACGTCTATCTCAATATATAGAATATACAATATCAGGTTATGGGCCCAGGGCGCCTCTTAAAAATACTATTTAATGTGTAAAGTCTTTGAATTTAGAAAGTTCAAGAAGAAGCAAGAATTGCGTGTGCGTGCATGCGTCTAAGTCAGTTGAAACGCAGTAAAGGAAATTTAAGGAAGTTGGATGAACGTGGTATAAACAAGATAAAAGGGTAAGATGGCTGACGGATTGTTTTATTCCCTCGAGAAATTAAAAGGTCGTGAAAATGATCTCATGTGGGCAGTAGCCATGCAAGCCTACCTCGAACATGAGAAGCTTTGAGATATGGTAAAGGTAGCACCCCAAGGAGGGCAGCTGAGTCAAGAAGTTGAAAAAATTACAAAGGGACACTCAGTCCTCATATTAGCGCTAGATCCTGTCTTGTACACGCAACAAGTGGTGTGGTTACTATGGCAGAGGCTTAGATAAAGCTGGAAAAGGGCTTTGTAGAAAGCTGCCTGTTACTTCCTGTAAGTCTACTGATTGAATTTACGTCCACAAAATTAGAGAACTGCGAGTCCACCGAAAGTTATACAAACAAAATTATTTGTGCGCAAATAAGCTCCACGGTGCAGGAATGAAAGTATCGAGGAGTGGATCAGTATAATGCTGCTGGCATGATTACCCGAACGCTATAGGCCAATGACAATGGTGCTAGAAAGTTGTGGCCAAGCTACTACATGCAACCTAGTGAAAACCAAATTGCTCCAAGAAGTTACGCCGTCCGGTGAACAGTATTTCTCTGACAAAGCCATATATTTGCACAAAACTGGACAGGAAGATTTTTTTTTGCACTCACGGCCAAAAACAAGGTTCAAACTTTCACCCAGACATTAAGTGCTATAATTATAATTAATACGGGTATTACGTGGGGGACTGCGCTATGTCTGCTAAAAGAAATCCAAGAAGAGCTCTACATACTCAAGTAGAAGAAACGGCTAACTCAGACCCGGACAGCAACGAGATGGCAATGTGCTCGTATACTGTAGGTATGTTCGGTGTAAATGAGTGGCTGATAGACTCGACTACACCAGCACACATGTGCCAAGACAGAAATTTTTTTGCATCATATGAAAAAAACAACATCAAGCGATATTCTAGCTGCGGACAATCACACCATACAAGCACTAGGCATTGGAAATATAAACATGCGGTCTTCTCTCCAAGATCGCCAGCAAACTGTATGTTTCACAAACGTGCTTTATGTTCCGATAATAGCCGAAAATCTTGTATCAATTAGTGTGTTAACAAATAAAGGTTATACCGTCGAATTTTTGAATAAAAATTTTTAGTGTACACTAAAAACCAAAGACTAGTATTTACAGGACAACAAGTTAAGAACGGTGTTTACAAGTTAAACGCTTTTATTGGCACGAGTGAAGAAGAAAGACCAACTCGAAATAAACAATATAGTATGGCTATGCTCGACGTGAACCTGTGGCACATTCGTTTGGGACACCTAAACCTGGAGTATCACAATATTTTTTGGAGTAACCCAAACACTCAAGTGAATTTTAATAAAACAGACAATCTGGCAGATTGTATTGGTTGCTGTGAGGGTAAATTGGTGAACAGGCCTTTGCTAATTAAATTAAGTTTGGCCAAAGAAAAATAAACCTTGCTTCACAGTGATTTCTGTCAAGTGCTAGATGCTTCCTCGAATGGTGGTCATTATTTTTTAACTTTCATGGATGACCACTCACGCCAGCTTTTCGTATTCCTTCTAAAGTCGAAGGTTAAAGTGCCAAAACCTATTAAAACTTTTGTAAAATTTGCAGAGAAGCAATTTGGTCAAACACTTAAGTTTTTGCGCACGGACAATAGTCGCAAGTATGTAAATGGTGAAATAAACGATTTTTTTCCAACGCAGGAATTAAGCATGAGATCACCATTCCATACAACCCTCAGCAGAACGGTAGAGCGGAGCGTGTAAACAGGATCTTGATCAAGAAGACGCGCTGTATGCTGTCAGAAGCAGGACTCAGTGAATATTTTTGGGTGGAGGCTATGGCTACCGCAGCTTATCTTCACAATCACTCTCCGAAACGAGCGCTATCAGGTAAAACGCCGAATAAGATTTGGACCAACCGAAAGGCAAACCTGGCGCATCTGCGAGTCTTTGGCTGCAAATCCCATGTACTCATATCAGATCAAAAGGGAAATGAATTGGATCCCAAAATCAAAGAGATGATTTTTGTAGGTTATCCATTAGTTAAGACTGGCTATAGGCTTTGGTGTCCAGTTACCAAGACCATTAAAGTGTCCAGAGATATCAAGTTTTTTAAGGTTCTGGATAAGCCAGCAAGTAGCCTCATGCATTTGTATTTAAGCACCGAACCTTTCCTGGAACACGAAAACAGGAGTAATCAAAATATATAAGGAGCAATACGTTGCGAGTCTTCTTAAAAGTTTTAACATGAAAGACTGTATACCAGCATCAGCACGATTGCCTACAAATTTTAATCTGGGGCCACCAGATGCTTCAGTGTACTCCCAAATGCCGAAAGAAGAACTTGAGAAATTGCATAACATGCCATACCAGGCCTTGATGGCAGTCTTCTGTATTTGTCTCAGTGCGCTCGTCCTGATCTGGCATACGCTGTGAGTCAGCTTAGCAGATACAATCACTGCTACATGCAGGAGCACTGGACAGCGACCAAACACACACTGAGGTATCTTAAAAGCACATCTGCACTCGGTCTGACTTTTTACGAGTCCGTGCAAGGAAAATTACTAGGCTACAGGGATACGAGCTGGGCACCTCATCTAGGAGATACTCGCTGAGTTACTCGATATGTTTTCACTCTGCAATAAGAACCAATCAGCTAGAATTCGAAAAAACAACTAACTACTACAATATCCAGTGCCGAAACAGAATACCAGGCTCATACAGCCGAAACTTAGGAGGCCCTATGGCTGCAGAGTTTAGCTAAGGAATTGGAAATTAAAAAATCGGGACCAGTAAAGGTCTACTGTAATAATAAAGGAGCCATCCAACTAGCCACAAATGCATTATACAGCCTAAGAACCAAGCATATCGCAGTCAAGGATCATTTCATCAAAGAGAGGATCGAGAATAAGGATTTGGTTGTCGAACACCTACCAGGGTCTGAAAGGTCCACTGATTTTGTAACAAAAGCTACAAGTGCCACTCACTGCTAGGAGTTTTGCAGATTAATAGGACTAAATTATATTTAATAGGATTGAGTGATTAGATTGACTTGACTAGATTAATAGGACTGAGTAAAGTGAAGTAAATAAAATGTTACGAATTGATTTGACAAAATTATATATATACATATATATATAAATTATATTTATAACAATATATAAACCTTAAACTAAATCTAAAAGAAAAAAAATGCATGCACATACATCGCATATTCGTGTACGTTTAGTAGTTGTTAAGCGTCGTTTATTCTTATTATTTTATACTTTGTCATGTACGAAACTGCCTTTTTGATGTGGTGTATGATCTGATCAATACTGTATCAAAAATATTCATTGAGGAAGCCTGATGTACGTCAATGTATATTTTGTGTGAGTGTGAGCAAGCGTGGTGTCGGGTGTGCCCTGACCCTCGAGTGTCTAGCTGAGCCTAGTCAGCTGTGCGCTGGCAGTAATAGAAAGTGGACAGGTTTCAGATACAATTACACAACATCTAAATAAATAGTTACAATTCACTCAGTTGACCTTTTGTTCTTCCCTACACGTCTGTCTCAATATATACAGTATAAAATATAAATTTTTATACTTTTTTATCAAGCTTTACCTGTCAGTGTAAGTAATTACAATAAAGTTAGTGTGTAAATTTTTACGCATGGATACATGGATACACACAGCATAAAGTCACAAGGATACCATTGTGAAGATAAGGGATCTCTAAGAGTGTAAGAAGGTTTGGAAAAAATCAAAAATTTTGGTCTAATAAGGAAAATGGAAAAAAAAAACTAATTTTTGTATGTTTCTATCTTATGTGTGGTCTACAGAGCAATGAAAAAAGGTTGCGGGGTAGTGTGGAGGTTATGTTAGGTTAACAGATTATGGGTACATTGGAAAATTTTAAGCGCTAAGTTAACGGGGGTATTTTACGTATATTTTTTATAGTTTATTTGTAAATCTATGAGAGAGAAGAGTAGAAAGAGAGTTGCATAACCTACTTCAACTACTGTATAATGAAAAAATGTGTGTGTATTTGTGTGTGTGTGTGTCTGTCTCTCTGTGTGTGTGTGTGTGTGTGTGCGTGCGCGTATGTGTGCATAAATGCGTGTGTGCGCGTGTATGTCTGCATAAATGTGTGTGTGCGCGTGTATGTGTGAGTAAGTAGGTATGTATATCTATTATCTTTTATACTTTTATCTTCATGTGTGTATTTATTTATGTATCAAAGTGAGTCGTACTTTCATTGCATATAAATACTTACTATGTGCAATATGCAATGGAGTCTTTTTGTGTTTGTTTGTTTCACGAAAAATCTTGCTACTAACACACACTGGACTTTTTTAAACTTTTTATATTTCCTTTGAGAAACATAGGTTTGTTGATAAGTGTAATAAATAAAAATTTATGTACTAACTGTAATCAAATCTAATATTTATTTTAATTATATTTCCCTAATCTTGAACAAATAAATTTCTGATTTCAGAAGTGCTAAAAGAACAAGTTAATCCACTAGTTAGCATTGGACCTGATGCATCTCTGTTTGATGCCATAAAAATATTAATTGACAATAGAATTCATCGCTTACCTGTAATAGATCCTAATACAGGAAATGTTTTGTACATTCTAACCCATAAAAGAATACTCAGATTCCTGTTCTTGTATGTAAGTGATTTTTTGATGTCATAAGCTTAATTTTTGTTGAATTTTTACGTAAATCTGATTAATTATGATTTATGAGCTCTCCTTTTACACTTTTTTATGCTGAGGGTGATCAAGGGGGTGCTAGCTAGGGCTAAACACGCTGGGTTCAGGCAGGTGAGACAGTGAAATAAAGGGACGCATGAGAATTATACAAGTCACTGGTAGCTATCGTTATTTCTGATGTCTCAACTTAATTACAAGACAAACTTTTCCTGTCGCTACTCTGATGTTAGAAGGGAAGGGCCACGCTAGCGGGTGGCACGTCCACACGTTTCAGCTTTCGAATTTGGAAGAAGGTGAGGTAGCAGCTCACGTAGCTAACAGGCGGTGACAGGAAGCTACCTAGTGGCAGTCTATTTGTTCTGCTCTATTGTGTAGTCAATAATGCAGTAACGTAACAAGGATATAAAAGGGTCATTGGCCTTCAACAAGAAACGGCGGTAACAATGGAACAAAATTTCAACAATAAATACAGCCATGAAACAATGACACGTCTTAGTGTGGTGGAACATTTTTATGAAGTAAATCTATGATGCTTCACCAAACACTGTTAGCGTCTTCAGACATCTGAAAAATATATAAAATATAAAAAATAATCAATAATTTGTTTTGGAAAAATTATGAAATATCACATATCAAGGTTAACTTACTATACTAAACATGCATTGCTTGCTTAATGCATAATAAAAATACAACTAAAAAATTTTACATTTTCAATTTAATGAAACATATAAATATTTTTAAAAAAGGTGAATCTGTAAAAATAAACTATTTATAGTTATAATGTTTGCTCTAAAAATCTGACCTACTTGCATATTATAACTACTTCTTTACCAGTAAGATGAAGTTTCTCAGTTGCACAAGCTTTTTGTTAAATTTAATATTTTTTAAATTACATTATAAATGTAACCAAAAACTACCATGGTTGCCCGATAATAGTTGTAGTCCTTTCTTTGCTGAATTGGTGCTTGAGGACTTGGAGATTTTGATTCTAAAAATAATTGGTTCTTATGTGTTTTACTACAAAAGATATGTTAACGACATTTCCTTAGTCATTAACAGTAAAAAGTAGATACTGTATTATCCTCTTTTAAAAATTCAATTTACTGTAGGATACAAAAATTATAGAGCTCCCCCCTTTTTAAATTTAATAATTTACAGATAAATTATTAGTCCTAGTGAATTTGATTGGTATGAGAAAAGTTTGGCCTCTGATAAAACATTGAATTATTTTTTATATTTTTCGACTCTAACGAAAAAGGCCATCGTCATTAACCTGATAGGCAAATGTTTTCTCCAATATGATTCGAAGCTCCGTACTAAGTATCCTTTCTAAGACCTTTGGATTTTCTTCCTTACCGTTTTGTCTAATAATAATAAGTTCACTTCTTATTCCTTGCCTTTGTGGCATGGTATACGTAAACCAGATATCACAATTATTGTAATGAAGAATCTATGAACAGAAGAGATGTATTAAACGAAAAAATTGATTCTGTTTTAGTTACACATTTTATGCTATGTCCCCATTCTTTCGATTTAAAAATAGTTGCAGTTTAAAATGGAGATGGTAATGACTTACTCAAGGAATTCTTTGAGCTGTTAAACATTTGGTTTGATAGCAGTATAAGTAGAAAAACTGATTTGTGCCACTTGAATTAGTTTTATTAATAATATTCACCGTTTTTATAGATAACTTACATTTAGTTCCACATGTTTCTGTAGAGGTATTCACATAGACGTAACAAACGATTATCACGCACTAACTACAAGTTGTGATTATAAACTTTCACATTGGAAAAGTGTTACGGGACAGAAGTTAAAAGCTATATAGATATGGTGTTTCTATTTTGTGTCTTTTAGTATTGATATTTATACTTCTTACGTTTTATACGTTTATTAATACACTAGAAGAACTATACTACGAAGTAAAACGACCTCAAAAAAGATACTAAACACAAGAATTGGTTTTAAAGCTATTGAACGAAATAATTATTAAAACGCTTATAAATTTCAAGTAACTTAACATATTATTTTCATTTCGAATTACTTTAAGAATAACTTATCACGTGCATGTAACTCTGTGTAATTGTCTCATACTTTAACACAGATATATATACAAGCGACCCCTGTCAGCTTCGCCCATAACTCACCAAATAGAACACCGTAGTGTCTTGACATGTAATGTGAAACGTTTTCAGTTAAAAATTTTTCGGACACTTTGCAGAACAAAAATCTTCTTATTAAAAACAGATTTGTTCAAAATCAATACAGTTTATTTGGTCAAGTAAAAAGCTGTAAAAAGTAAAAAAAAATAATTATGCTGAAAAGTGCCGTACATTCCTTATGCCATAAAATAATTGTTGGCCCTAAAAAGCCGTTAGTTTGAAGTTTTGCCCATATGTTCTATGAACAGGGCTATTTTTTAAAGCTGTAAAGACTTCAAACTCACAAAAAATGTGTAATTAAAAAAAATTTGTTCCTCTTATCGCACAACTTAATAACGTTTTTTGTTGCCACAAAAATATAAACACATATTCTACCTATTTAAAAATCTAGAAGATTCAAGAGATTAATATCAGGATTATAGTTAAAAGCTTATCTCTCACTTAATAAATTTTTAATTATCGATCTTAAAACTGCTTTAATCTCGATAAATGTTCAGCGTCATTTTCTTGACGCCTAAAATTGTATTTATAAGAGGCGTTGGAAGTTTTCTTTCAATTTGACTTCTTGTGACTTTTGGCATAGTTAATTGTAATAATAAATAGTTAAGACTTTTGTAAGCCCTAAAGGTTTTTTTAAAAACTTAATTAAGTTTTAATATATTTTTTGACAAGGTAGTTCAACATCTGATGACCCTAAATAGGACTGGTGAGCTTATAAAGTAAACTCTTTCTTGACGAAAGTCTGCAGCAAACGTAATTGCCTCTATACCTTAGGGTAATCTTCTCTGGACTGTTATTGTGGCGCCACACTGATCAGGAAGAAAACTACAAGCTTTGAAGCTTTGGAGCTAGTTGAAAAGCTCTATTCCAACGTCTCCTGATATAACATCGAAGACGTTGGTGTCTAAAGCACCTTCTATTCCTGCAGACTCAGTTGTTTTGGTGATCCAAGGTGAAGAGATTGATTCTTGACGCTTGCCCGTTAGAGACTGTTCCGTTTGCTCAAGTTTATTTTTCCTTTATAGCTGTTAGGTTCTCCCAGCGCAGACCTTGGAAAGGATTGGTATTTCCTGGTTGAATGCTTAGAGACGAGAGGGTAATATAGGGTTGTCGCTTGCCGGGGTTCCCAACCTTGCGACGAACAACTCCGCTCGTGACGTCTGCCAGTAAATGACTGACTTGGTTTAATAGTGGCTGGCTCTATACAGTCTTTCACTCGACGAATCGTTTCCGAAAATGGTAGTAAAAATGTATTTGTTGGTGAGGTAGTTCAAACTTAGGGGTCCTTAAAAAAACTGATGAGATTGATGGTTAAGTAGGGAACGTAAATACTTATAAAGATCCTAAAAAGGGCCAGTGGTAAAATTTCCAGTTATTTCATATTATTATTCTTAATCATGGAGAGCCAGCTGCTGGTGGCTTGACTCTTATCCTTGGAGTCTCCGTGTACGGAGACCGTACTGGAGGAAGGTATGCCACTGACCAGAGAATATCTCATCTTTAGGTCGTTCTGCAGATAACCAACCACTTATCATTAGTCGGAAAAGTGGGCCTGGAGAATACCTTCTCTGTAGGTATGCCGTTGGGACAACCACTAAGAAGGAGGCTGTTGTGGCTGCCCGTACTCTTTAGGACTGTCTTCCCTGGCTTGTATTTGAAGTGAAAAATTCTTTGACGGCACCAGGTCAAACGGTTGAATGGCCACTAAACGGCCAAAGTATTGGAGCAGGTTGGGCTCTGGCTGTACACGTCTCCTGGTATTCTACCGGGTGCGTTGACGTTCCAAACGCCTATTTTTCTGTGACACTCGGTTATCTTGGTGATCTGGAGTAAAAACCCATTTATTTTGCTTGCCCATGAAAGAAGAGTGTCATCGGTAGCCAAGATGCCCAGCAGCACGACTAACAACTCTGTTCTTGGTGTACTGCCGATGAACAACTTCGATAATCGACAACTCGATGGGGCATTTTGTAACCACTCTTCACTATCTTTAATTGTGGGTGGCTTCAATTTGATATTGATACCACCTAGCGGATCCTTTTGAATTAAAGGGAAAAGCTAGCTTATTTAAGCAAAACCTTAAGCTTATTTATCGCTATTGTTATTAACTTTTTCAAGAAAAAAACTATGCGAAAACCATCTCGGAATCATCAACAATTAGTACGCAGAATTTTAGCAAAATTGGTTTAGTAGTTTTTGTTGTTAGCGAGTACAACAATTTTAGCGACTTTGCTCTATATAGTAGTAAGATATGTACAAGGAAATCCACACTGAATGTCGCATTTTTGTACCCAATTCGAATAAAAAACACTTTTTTGTGGCACATCCTGGAACCTGGGCTCATTTCACTCATAATGTTATATACTACGAGGAAAAATTTCAAACACAGGTTTTAGTGAGAGCGGTATTCTTTTTCCGCGATTTTCATGTTAAAATTTTGTGTGTATATATGATTTGTATAAATATAGTAATATTAATGATACCCATGTTTAAAATTTTTTCCTCATAGAACATGACGTAATTGTTAGAGTGTAAGTGAATTTTAAATTGTGCGCTTGAGGCTGGGATGCTAGGCATTGAACATGCGTAGGAGCTCTCGATTCGCGTGATTGATACATGTTTTATGACGATAAGTATATTTAACATATAGATAACTGTTGCTGAGGCAAGATGGCTCATGTTAGATATTAAATGTTAATTATAATAAATTCAAGTTTATTATAGAAAATATGTTGGAAGTATCTATTTTCCCAGGCTCATTTATTTTTAATATGGTAGCAGAAGTTCATCGTTTGAGTTGCCTATTGCGTTCTTTTTTGA